AAGACAGCCCGATGCACGCTTATTCGCGGATCTTTGTTAATTAAAATCTCGGTAACTATTGCGAATCTAGCAAAATGGTATAGGACTTTTCACCTTAGTTTTATTTCTTCTACCTGTCTACGAGAGATGTTAAACCAATTCTGGGACACCCTGTATATATACTCGTATATATATATATATATATATATACATATATAGTATATATATACACGCATATTTTCGCACAACATCCAGCAAACGGCTCTCATGACCGTCTATGCATGTATTAATTTCATGAAGCATTTATAGAAATAAAATCAATTCTAAATTTCATTTGTATTGTATACTAGATAATTGTATAGCAAGTATCGACTATTTTTCAAATTAAGTTTCTAGCATTTATACAGTTTTACTCACGTAAACATACCGTTTGTGTGGGTAGTGGACTTCCATAATTTTATATGTAAAATTTAATAAACATCTAATATATAAAAATGTGAATAAAATGTTATTTCGTATGAATTCATTTGTTTTAATTGATAGTTTTTTTTTTATTTTAATTATAAAAACAGAAAGAAAAGAATATATTTGCTTTGTGTGCCAATTTATTAAATTTTAACCCTAATCCTGTAAATTCCGTTGGTTTTAGATACTTATACTCTTGTAAACCCTGACATTTATGTCTGACGATATTTTTATTGGTTAAAACATTGCAAAAAATCTGTAAAAATTCATGAGATTTTTTACAACTTCTTTTTTACATCTTTATTAAGGAAATAACATTAGTTTTATTTTTTTTTATTGTTTAGAAAGATTTCCACTAAATAATTAATATTAATAATTAATATTAATATTATCTCATTTTCAAAAATTGCTGCAACACCAATGGAGGTTTACATAATTACATAATTAGGGTTAAAATACGTTTAAAATGTATAATTAAAGCTTATAGTGTAAAACGTTATTCTCGTTACATAAATAGTTTTGATTATAATTGCTTTTAGATATAATAATATAATCGGAGTTTTTGTATTTAATGAAAAAAATCTTTCGGAAGACGTTTTTATTTGTTTATTATTGATATGTGCAATAATTTTGTACTTCATAATGGCAACCTTATAGATAAGAATTTTCATTTTTCTTGTTGTTGTATCTTTTGTGTGTGTGTGTGTGTATATATATATGTGTGTGTGTGTGTGTAACACCAATATTTATGGAATTCATACAAACTTGAGCGAAACCGCTTACGTGTGTCAAAGCATTTTGCTGTGACGCAAATAGAATCATGGAGTACGTCGAATTAAATTTCGACGTGAATGTTGTTGTTGACGTATTGGAATGGCGGAACGAGATTTCCAATTTATTCGCTATATACGTACAGAAAAATGCAGGAAGCGATAGAAAATAATATCCCTTTACTTTCTAACATTATTCAACGATCCAAAAAACAATATGTTTTTACATTTATTGTCTGTATTAATTTTTCTAAACGACAAAAGAAGAATCCCTTTTTGAGTAATTACTGATAAATATTGATTGTTATTTAAATGCTATTAAAATTATTTGTAATTACCAAACAGTTCTATTTAAATAAGTATAAATTACACGATATTGTGTTTGCTACTTCTCAAAAATACATTATATTGCATTTTCGATATTTATAAATTATTTTCATGTATGTAAAATCGGTCAAGATTTCTTATAATTATAGACAAGCGATTGTTCAATAATTCAAGACTTCGCTAAATCTTATTAACAGAACTTGCGGTATCTTGTATTATGTCAGCCTCACATTTGTTAGTACATCAATTAACTAAAAGTATCTCTCTCCTGATATTGATAGCAGCGCTAATTGAACATCTGAGTTTCTACACCAAAGGATTTTTCATATTAAAAAAATCACATGTTAATGACATTACGAACTAAGTGTTGGTTTAACGAGATATCGATAAATCTCCTTAATCCGTAATTAGTATTTATTTCACTTAGACTTTTATATTTGTCCATAATTATAAAGAGAAAACGTAGTAAAACATTTTACATGTCAGAGAAAAATTTCGTTATTACGTTATTAAATTCTACAAAATTATAAACAAAATACACAGAGTACTAAAATTATTATTATTGTTATTATTACTAATATAAAATATTAGTAATAATAACAATAATAATAATTTTATTTTTTGATCTCATTTCTCGTAAACAAAACATATATAAAGCACACAATTTAATACAAGAAGCAAAAATGCAGAAATTATTCTGTTCGCGCGCGAAATACCCATCGCTGCTTCCGTCCTCTTCTAGGATTCAAGAGTGAATGTGGTGGTCGGGTCGGTAGAGTACCGGACCGGCTGCTCGGCCACGCTCGGTCGTGCTCGGCTACTGTCGGCAATCTCCGTCGATCTCTGCGGGGGCAGAGGCCTCCTACTCTTTCGCGCAGTCTCGCGCAGTATTCACACTCTCGCGTAGGCGAACAGCGGTGTACGCGACGTGTCGGTCCGTGAGTCCTGTCGTTCTGTCAGTGATCTCGTCGGAGGAGTAATAGTATCACAGTGTTTGGAGTAATCGTCTCTCTGACTTTGTTTCTTTCTTTTTCTTTTGCGGGAAGATTGTCGTTGCCTGGTATGGATTTTCTCGCGTCTCTTCGCGCGATAACAAAATCGAAAACGTCGAAATAATCGGATACTCGCTACTTGCCGTGCGATCCGCTCGCCGCCTTCGCACCACCCAACCCCGTTTTCATCGTCGCTGCTCCTGCCGCCATCCCTCTTCACTCTCTCGCGCTTCTCGATCGGCACAGATGTCCGAAAACTCACGTCTTGACAGATATTCCGCGAAAAGAGTAAGAGGAGGAAGAGAAAAAGGAGGACGATCGTTCTTGCGGAGAAAGTTGACGAGATAAATTCTCGATCGCAATCCATTCTGATTTGCGCCCGGTACATCCTCCGACCGCTCTAAATTTTGGCGCGAGTGCATTAGTTTGTGAGTGAACAACACTCCGATCGCGCTCGATAGATCGAACGGAATGTCTCGACTATATTTGCGCTAGGATAACAAACGTCGGTGCATTCGCGAACGCGAGACATTGGATTTCTTTCTGCTATCGTCGTCGCGCAGTGCGTTTCAAAACAATCGAAGCAATTTGATTCTGAAGGAACTTCCTCTCTCGTTTTGCTGCGTGTACGTAAAAAACGAACGCTTGTGATGCGCGATCGATCTTTCTATCGCGTCGGTGACTGTTGGTTGATAAAAACTCCCCATGAAGGACTCAAACAAGTTTTATATATTTTTTCGTGCTCTTGGTCGTTTCAGGATTAACTTGTGATTTAAAAAGTGTGCGTTTTTTGAACAGTATGATCTTGAAAGAAGCTGCGACTATTAAAGAGCTCTTTTGGAAAACCAAGAATTGAAGTCGAAGGAGGATTATCAAACTTTTGCCGAAGTTTTCATCGAAGAACGGATGAATGAGCGATTAAAGATTCGCTCGGTATTGTGAAGATCGCATTTGGATGTAAGTTCACGTTCGTTGGACTATTCGCGCAGCCGATAATTTCAAGTGGAAGTTTCCGCATAGAACGGACTTGTTTGCTGCGGAAGCGGAACTATATTTACGAATATTTGCGTTCACGTGAATATAAGTAGAGAATGAGACCCGATGAGGCTATAGCGACAACGACGATTTCGATGTGTGTGCAAGAAATATGTTCCTGTCAAACGCGAGACGTGCGTCAATGATCACGAAAGAAAGAAACGCAAAAACGTGGAAAGAATCGCGAGATTGACGCCAAGTTGGTGCATATCTGGGATTCCACTTGTCGACATCGACGCGCGCGTGTTTCGTCTAGAAGAAAAAAAAAAGTGTCGCCGATCGTGTCATCTATGTACGATATGTGAGAAGACGTGACACAGGAGACGCCGTGACGAACGTTATTTGTCTTCTTTGTCGTCTCTGTAGCGTTCGCTCGGTCAATTTTTATTACGCTATTTAATCCGCCTGGGATTGCTTGTGAATGTGAGCGCGTGTGAGTGAGTTGCAAAGAACGGACACACATAAAGCCATGAAGGTCTCCAAGGCGATAGCGGAAAAGCTCCACGAGATGAGGTTCTTCGTGCTCGTCGTTGCCTGTTTCATATCAACAGTAAAAGGTGAGTTTACGTATTAATTTTTACATTATTCTGAGGACTAGGTCGACTTCTTCTGTTTGCGTGTTAAAATAGCATTCTTGTCTTCGTAAGCGTTTTAGCGGTGATTGTGAGGCTGGTTGTAATTTCGACGAGTCTTCAATTCAAGATAAGTGAGATCCCTTCGAATTAAGTGCGTACTCCGTTTCTTCGCGTAGGAAAAAGAAATTTGGAGTGAGTGAGTTAATAAAAAAAAATTTATTGAGTTGTTACGTATAAAATGTTTTTCATATCAATCGGTTTCAGATAATTTTTGAGGGAGTATGTACCACGTATAAAATGAAAAGATTTCTTCGCGATAAAGTAGAAAAATAATGTTGAATCAATTTTAAACGTTTGTTTTAATATATTTTATGAGTTCAATACACATTTGTTGCAATTTAAAAAATATTGCAAATATTTTACTAATAAAAACAAAATAAAATTAAAGTATTAATTTTATTGCTATTTCAAAAGTATTACACATGCGTATAGTACTAGATTAGAATATTTTGTTAATGTGCTCTGTAAAACAAACTTTTGAAATGCGATACATAACGATTCATTAAATAAAAAAAGAAAAAATCTTTGTGTTTCTGTTAAAAATAAAAAATCACAGAAAAATAAAATAATAAACACTCTATTATGCCACTAATTTATATAGATTCTATTTTTTCCAAATAACATCATTAATCTTTTTTACGAGTATACTTTTTTATATTAATTAAATATAAAAACATTTCTCTAACAGAAATATATTATAAATATGATTTTTTAATAAATTCATATGTATAGTGCAACTAATTATAAATATTAAATATAAATATTGTACATCTTATTTGTATAAGCAAAACCTTGAATTAATTAACAAAATTATATTTGTTTTAAAAAAGATTGTTATTTATTATCAAAACTCATCATTGAGAAAGAAGTCGTTTTCCAATCGCTTATAAGTTCGGCAAACTATTTAACCTCTTTTTTTCTCTTACTTTTCCTTCTCTCTCTTTCTCTCTTCAATATTTTAGAAAGTTGTGTGATTCTAAATTAGTTGAAGGATCTCCTTATTAAAGCTGGTAGTTCTCTTGGCATTCCGTACATCAAGTTGAACACACAAATTGAAGAGAAGTTATCACGCGAGATTAGGTGCTTATGTTACGTTATACTTTAACTCCAGGCCACGGAGAAAAGATCTTGTAGAAAAACGCTTGTTCAAAAAATTTTAGAACAAGTTTTAGTGTTTATGTAACACATTTTTATGTTTATGTAGATTAAAAAAATAACTAAGACTTGCAAAAACAGTTCATCTTTTAGAAAAAGTGCAACATATCTCTTCTCTTGTAAAATATCTTTTCTTTTCCATAAACAATATTTAATAATTGATTGAAATTGTACCTGATTATTTATGACAGGTGAATAACTACGATAGTTGCTTAAGTTTTTAAAAGTAACTTGATAATTGCTGCAAAATCGTGTTATGTGTGCGTGCTGTATTTTATTTTATATAGAAAAATATGAAAAAATATAGCGCTTCTGTTATTAATTCAGAACGTTATATTTTATGTTAATTGATACTCACCATGATAACATGTCGTCGTTTACCTACTTTTATTACAAATATACAGTATCGCGCAAAATTCAGAAATTGTATTTCAACTTTTTGATCTTCGTTGTTCAATTTACTGTAAATGTGTTATTTTTACATTGTTGTTACCTCGCTCTTTATTTCCGAGTTTATTTGGCACTTAATGAATATGTGCTTATTTATCGATTCATTTTACGCCGTTGTTTATGGGATCTCTCTATTTATTAACAGTGTCCATATTATCGGACCGGTAAAGGATATCACTGGAAAATGAGCTTCCTGGTCGTTAACACGCAATGTTGTTTGCATAATGCAATCGCGTTAAAAATATGATGGCATCATTTGGCAGGCGCAAAAGACGAGAATATAATGAGCATCAAAAAAGTGAAAGATATGCAACAAGACATTTTATTGTAAAATGTGATTTTATTTTAATATATATACATATATATAAAGCGACATTTTTTCACGTTTTCAGTAATACTTTATCAGCGAAAATGAAACTTCGGTGTTTCTCTTGCATTCGCGCTCTGTTGTGCAGACATGAGCGATTCGATAAGAAGATCGATTTTCTAATATATTTGTCTATATTTAACTACGCGAAAAAAATAAAGGTTTTAAAAAAAAAAGAATGATCTGCGAAAACGGACAGCAGCATTGCGCGCACAATATTCTATTAGCCTATTTTGCACGCTGATTTAATTGTGATTGGAAAGCAATTTCGCAAAACGGAGCGTATCGCGAAAAAAATTGTCGATATCGCTCCGCTTTTCGCGCTATTCCCTTAACGCTGTATACTATAGATTCACGCCATTATATTTTTATTGCTTCGTAAAACTCGGCGATATTTCATTCCTTTCCCTCTTCTCCTCCTCGATTACACATTGATCAGCGTGTATGTTCCGTTCGATTATTTTTACATTTCTATTATTTATTGCATTATTTAATGATATCATTGTTGCGTAGGTAATTGATTGAAAATTGCTGCATCGCATATGTCATATGTATAATCGCTCGTGAAAGAGACCGAAAGAAATATATTCTCCATCGCGGTACGTAGTTCATGTTCTCTTAATTAAATCCATTGTTCTTTAACAAGCTACTATACGATTAACACATTCGCATTTGAATTTACTCACATTTTTATTGATCAATATTACATTCACGACATTTATCCTTTGACTCATTAATATTCATTTTTCATTAACAAAGAATCTCCGTTTATTAATTAAAACTATTCGAGTTCATTACATTATCCTTTTCAGTGTATTAATATTGGTTTGCACAGTGAGAAAGTCAATAATTTTATATACAGTACCGAAGATGGATTCAGTAAATGTCATATTTTATATTATTTTGTTCTTTTTTCTCTTAATGAATATTACTTAAAAGTAAACTTAAAACTAATTTCGAAATATATTCGTTAAAAAAATATATTACATATTTTCTCAAACGAAAAATTAGTGTTTCCAAATCTAACCTAATTTTCGTAGTTCACAACTTTGCACATGAGTTTTCGATATTTAATTTTCAAAAAGTTTTTAATCTCGAAGACGAAACAGTTCGATGACAAAATGTTAGATTAAAAAATGGATAAAATACGCTTATGATACTCAATGGAACAAGAGGCTTTAAAGTGTCTTTAGATATTTATGTCTCTCTCTCTCATCTTTTTGAAATATACACGCCGTGTGCAGCATTGTCAGAACTCTATGTCGCTCTATACTTACGTGTTGTGTATCCTCATACTCTTGTATCACTTTTTTCGAGTTCTCGCGTTGTCCGTAATTTATTTTGCAAAAAAGAAGAAACGTTAAGTGTGCATAAGCCGAAAAAACTTACTCTCGCACGATGATTTTCTCAGCACAACAGAGATGCAAGAATAGTAGAGGATTACGGGTTAAAACTCGTGGTTTTTACATGTCGAAAATTACGTATCATTCATAATGCAAATCGCGGTTGGTGCGTGTGCTGCGTTATCGAAATATCATGTACCGACTAATTATTGCGCGGTCACGTCAGCGGTCACTGTTTAAGCTGACGCATCATCATAAGCAAAATATACAAAGCGTTGTCAGCACATTGTCGATAATATGCAAGATTATATGCTCTTGAATGAACAGGGGAAACGATTTTTTGAGCAAACATCTTGTTACAAGTTTTGTATTCGTGTAATTTAATTTTCGACATTCCTAATAATCGAGTTGTGACTAAAACTTTGAAAAGGCAATGCGAGACAAAAAAATATCGATCTTCACGTATGTAACAATATTACAATTTATTGAATAACACATAAAATGTGCAGAGCGTATCGCGATCAAATTTCGCTCATTCTCACTCGTAAAATTATAAATTCAGAATTAACAATAAAAAATAAATTCAAAAAATTGACAATATATGGTAAAGCAATAATTGTAAAAAACATAGATTATTTAATAAATACATATATTGTGCGTGCGCACGCACACACGCAAAAGAAGAGATAGAAACGTGGTTTTGTATCAGCCCAATAAAGTTTTTTTAGTTGCTATTTTTATGAGCTCTCAATGAGTTTTGCGTTACAAACTCTAAAAATTTTACTTTAACGTCGACTATGAACGTCGAAGGAGCGGAATATAAAATAAAGTCTGGGGGATAAACCTTCGTAATCGTATCGGTATATTCTGCACGAGTGCCCACGACCAACGTTGACTGACAAAATCTTTAAAACACGAGATCGCGCGTGCGTTGTGTAAGAACTCGGAAAACTCCGTTGGATTGCAGCCAGAGTCGATTGTTGTGCAGCCGTGATACGAGATCATATGCGAAAGATGAAGAGGAGACACATACACATACATACAGTGACTTGAGGATACCACAACCATTGTTAACAGCAGACAATGAATTTGCACGTTGTTAAAGAGAAGAAACAAAAAGTTTGAAACTTTGTTCATTAAGCGCGGATCCGCGAATATATCTCGCGTGGATCGTTTCCTGTAATTCTCAAACGACTGAATTGCGGATTTGCGATTTTTGACGCTTTCTTTATCGGGGGTTGGCGGCATATCGCGTAATTACGAACTTGAACTTTCGAGTAGCTGATAAGGAAGAGAGTCGATCGATGCCGGCTGCTTTTCTGCCGGGCTCTCATTCGACCCTTTCCGGTTCGGAAACTTGGAACGAGCGCTAGTTGCAAAACTACGTGTAATTGCAGTCTTTTACTTACGTTTCTAAATAAACTGATAATCCGGCCATCAAAAATACCAGCGGAGAGCGCGCAGCGTAATATCGATTCAAAGGAAAAAATAATTCAATTATGCAACATATAATCATATTATATTTGTTAATTACATTTGTTAAGTGTTTACTCATAATTCGTTAATAATGTTTAAATCAATCAAAGAATAATTGAGCCTTAGAGAAA